GCCTCTCTGCTCCTATGATGCTGCTTGGCCTGCTGTGTTCATCCAGCTCTGCACCTTGTTGTCTCACAATATAAATTTAACTTTTTTCCCCAGTTCCCCAAATGGCTAATCATATGCTTTCACTATATTAGACTTAGAATAAAAAGATCAAACCATTTTTTTCTTTGATAAACAAAAAACTATTAATTGATAATGAAATATGACTCATTCATTGAATGTGCAGAACTGATTAACACATGCAGTTTGTAATGTGAATGTATTATTTATTATGAGTCACAGGGGTAGTGTGCTGGAAGTTCAGCCCTGCTATTTCTGGAATTATCACTAAAGTTAAAGATTTTAAAATAAGTGCAAAATTATCCAATTTACCCGATTATGAGACCCATGTTGATGGAATACGCAGGCCAAGTTTCTGTACTTAACAAGAATTACTGTTTATTACATGTAAATAGATTCAAGGTACAGGTAAACACTTATAAACCATCAGCAAATAACACTTGTTAGAGCCCTTGTTGATTTTTTTTTGTTTAATTCTTTTATTAATTTTTGGTTTGGACCTGTGAACTGTGAGCTAGAGAGAACTTTTGAGCTTTGGGTGACCTCTTGTGTTAAAAAGAAAATAGACTAATCAAGCTTTTGTTGATTCATGAGGCCAGGCTTGGAAGTAAATTATAGGTTGGTTCCCAATCAAGGTTCTGTAGATGCTTATCACCAGGAAAGAGCATTGTGTTTAAACAAACAGCAAAAGATGGCAATGAATAAGTCAGTACCTGGAAATTGGTTCCAGCAAGTTTGAAAAGACGTTATATGCAAGCATGTGGCAGATGTTGAATTCGGACCTTGTAGAGGAGACAATCAGTCTGTCAGGGAATTGTCAGAGTTTGAATTGGATTTTGGACTATGTTTTCTGTGAAGAAAAAAGTCTGGCCATTTCTACATAAGATTTGGGAGCTTCCTACCTAACCTCACTGATCAGCTTTTGAAAGCTCAGAGAGTACAGAGCCAAGTTTTATGTATTACTGGCTTTATCCGAGTGAACTGAAAAGGTGATCCTGATCAACATCTTCAGTAAATTACCTAAGAACCCATCATCTATACCTGTGGAACAACATATTATGAAAAACACTTAAACAATCTGGCCAGTTTTGTCATTTTCTTTTATTTATCATGCAACTGTGTTCATTTGTCTGTCTTTTGTGTGATTAAGGTTGAAAACAGAGGTTTTGCGAATATAGCATAAATCAATTACATTACTTTGTTGTTTAAAATAGTGTTTGGAACCGATTATTCGCAAAGTCAAGGATTGTTTATTTAAAAGCCTGGTTAAGATCCATTGGGTCAATTTTGAGGGTCATTGAAGGTTTTAATTTTACTGTGTTGCAAATACAGATGTAGAAAAGCAGATTTGAATTGGCTGTCTGTTTCTGTGTAGTAACACACTACAAATTAAAACTCTAATCCTATTATAAACTCCACTTTAAACACACACATACACACACACACACACACACAGAAAAATAGTTTATGGGCAGAGGAAAACTGGGAGATAGTTCAGTGGTTCTTATTCACTCATTGTTGAGATGATCTTTATGCTGGTCAGAATGCTATTTTTCAGTTGTCCTTCTTTCAGGAGACACAAGGTGGCTGGGTCACTTATACAAGGTCCCTGACTTATCAGCTAAAAATCCCAGCTCACAATAACTGCTAAAGAAAGGATGAACTCATTTTCGTCAGATTTAAAGTGAGTTTTGACCACAGAGAACAAAAAGACAGCTTCTGTGTTGGTGAAGATCAAAATATTTCTCTCAGTCTTGTTTCCCAGCCCCAAACCCATCAGTTATCTGAGAGCCAGTCATACAGTTTTTGGGTAGGCAAAAGACTTTTGGCATCACTATCTAGTCATAGACCAATCAACTTCTTGTTGCCACCCAGCTGCATCTGTACACAACCCATCAGCTCCAGTTTACCTGCAACTACTTCAATTGTTGCTTGCTCAAATAACTGCGTACACATTGCTTTCCAAGGGTATCAAAATACTTGTTTTACAAAACACACAGCAATCTTTAAATAACCGGTTTTAAAACAGTTCTTTCTCATCTCAGTTTACAATCTTAAAAAGCAAAAATTAAAAAGACACAGCCATGACAGTAAAAGCATTTACCCTTTAAATAACACACACATGGGCACACATGGGCACTCACGGGCATGGACACACACACGGACACACACACATGCATACACACAAACACACGTGCATACACACGGACACACACACGGACACACACACGGACACAGACCAAGTAAAGTGAATAAGATAGATTTTCTCTGCAGAGGCTAACATTGTAAAATACCACTTTGACTAATAATAGTTAGTTCTTTAATGAGAAAATGACAAGGTGTGGAATGTTCAGATGGCAATTGATCTGCCATTCTAGCACAGAGACAGATCACTAGACAGGCATAGTTGTCTCTGGAGTCTTGGCAGACACAGCTTCCTCAGAAAACATGTCCCAAGAAGTTTTCCCAATGCTCTTCAAGAGGACTATCAGATCTCACATTTGACTCATAACCAGGGTGTTTCAGAAAGGCAAAGAAATGAGCTGTATTTCCCCAGCTGAAAAACAAACAAACTCCACCCCCATTAAAACTTTGTTCAAAATGAAACTAGTTCTCTATCAGGCAGGTGAACTCCAGCAAACAAATTCAGAATTTGCTGAAGCGATGCGGTTTCCAAAAAAGTGCCCTGCTAAAAAGGAGCATCTTCCCATGTCCAAAGTGGCCTTCCAAACACAAAATAAATCCAAGTATCCACAGAACTTAAAATAAATCCATCTTTCCACAACCACTCAAAATTCAAGCCCTCAAAAAACAAATTAGATATGTAGTCTTCATAAAGCTCAACACAATCCAGGACAAAGCAGTCTGCTTGCGTAACTCAATTTAAACATTTATTGTTCTAATTCTAATTCTAATTATTGCCTCCATCATTAGTGACAATGTATACCATTGACAAGATAGACTACAGTAACTTGTAAAGGCTTCTTTAACATTAAATTCCAAATCTGTGACTTTCATCATCTGGAAGATTAGGGGCAAAAGACAAATGGGACACTACAACCTGCAAGCTCCCCTTAAAGTCACATACCATTCTGAAATGGAAGTATATCATCATTCTTTCTTTGCCAAGCCTATTAAAGCTCTTGCATTCCCTGTTGACACCACAATAGTTTCACCGCACTGACTGGAGTGCTCGAAGAAATTGGCTCACCCTCACCTTCTTAAGGACAATAAGAGAAGTCGACTAAATGCCAGCTTTTGTCACTGATATGCACACCTTGTCATAGAATCCCTACAGTGTGAAAACAGGCCCTTTGGCCCAACAAGTCCAAACCGAGCCTCAGAGCATCCCACCCAGACCCATCCCTCTATAACCCACCTAAGCTACACATCCCTGAACACTATGGGCAATTTAGCATGGCCAATTCACCTAGCCTGCACATCTTTGGACTGTGGGAGGAAACCAGAGCATCTGGAGGAAACACACGCAGACATGGGGAGAATGTGTAAACTCCACATAGGCAGTCGCCAGAAGATGGAATTGAGCCCGGTCCCTGGTGCTGTGAGGCAGCAGTGCTAACCACTGAGACACCGTGCCACCTTGTGAATAAAGAAATGTCAAAAATGACCCTGCCCTTCCTTTCCTAAATGCCAGGTTCACACCCACAACACAATGTAAAACAAAAAAACACCACAGTAACTTCAGCTGTTTAAATATTCAAAGAACTGAGTGGTATGGTTTGATTCATTAATTTATGCCAAATACTTTGAAAGATCTCTTGAGGAGGTCCCCATTTAGGTAAAATGAGATCAAACAAAACATGCGCAACAAGCAGCTACAGAATAACATGTCTCTGCCATGCCAATGGTGCAAATATTCCTAATATTTTAACATAATTTTCTGCATCCTGTAAATGACAGCCAGGAATAACAGACTGTAACCATGTGTGCCTTGTAATTAGTAATACATAATCTAATGAATAATCAATGCTAACATTGCAGTATTTTTTATCACAGACATCAAACAAACTATTCACACTCCTGCAGAAAGTCTATCAAACCAGACCCAGGATTGGGACACCTCAGTGAGTGACTGCAAAGCCTACTGCTGTGCTGTCACAACCTAGAGGTGGCTTTCAAGTGCTTTCTCTGGTTGTACATGGGAAGATTTTCAGATGACAACAGAAATGTGAAGAGAAGAGAAAAGATGTAAATAGGATTGTTAACTCACTTTACCAGATCCAGATGTCAAAGGAGAATTTCTTCTATGACAGTAGAATGAAACCCCTCTGCATCCAGCAATACGTTCCAATCCATATCCAATTTGGGCTGCCTTTGCTTTTTCAAACAATTGCTGCTGTTTTGAGTGCCTTCTGTCTTCTAGACCTCCATGATGAGGCATCCCTATGCATGGATATTATGTAGCACAGTTGCAATCTTGGACAATGCTACAGAGTACAACCAGAATAGTCCAGGCACCTGCCATGTATCTTCATTGCGCTGTGGCCCTTTCCCTTGTGCTGGCCAGCTGGAGTGGTATGAAAGTGCTCCAGTCAGACCTGTGTCAGATATCTTCAGAATAGCCTGAAAATATCCTTTTAGGTTCAATAACTGAACCGTGCAAAAAAAAATTGCATAACTTGCCGGAAAAGTGATACTCACTTGTATGATTGGGTGGAAATTCAGAGAAGCGAATCAGTTCCCATCGATGTAGGTAATAGGATTGATGAAGGGAATTATGCATAGCCAAGTGGAAACAATCCATCAATCTGTGCACCTGCAGGGATTCTGCCACAATATAAAACTGCGGTCTTCAGTCATGCTGCTGCTGTGGTTTATTGCAGTGAAGTGGACCAAATGACTTAGAATAGCAAACAATGCATCAATGAACCATTTAATACATCTGTGCACAGCTACATGGCTAACATTTCAGATTCCTATAATGGACATTGGCTGTTTGTCAGGTTTCAGTGTACAGGAAATACTGTTAATTGCTTCCTTTATGAAGTTCAGCATCCAGAGAATCTTAGGACCGTATTAGCATTAAGGGCATCATCAAACAGGTAGCATGTCCCTCCCCTGCTGCTTGACCAGCTCACCTCTCTCCCCCATTACTCCTTCTCTTCTTCCTTGAAATATGTTTTTCAAGCATCAAATCCATAACCTAATTTATATTCCACCCAAGAAGGGTGTAAAACAGGTTAGCGATTCGGGGTCATGCTTTTTACTTAAGTGCTCAAGACTAAATTCACCCTCGTTATGCACTTTTTAAAATGATGAAGAAATAAGGACCCTCACAGATGAAAAGAGGAGGTGGAAGCAGAGAAAGAAAGATGACCAAAATTTATCAAGAATTAAGAATTCTGTATCGTGTCCCTTTAAATTAATTTCTATCTATTCAGTGGTGGTTCACAGTCTGGATGACTGTCTTATGAATTGTGAACATCATGAGCATAGAGGGATAATAAAAGGTATCACTATATTATCACTACTTCATTCGACTGCCCCTTCTGGGCTAAGGATTTCCAGTCATCTGCTGGAAATGGTAGAGAAAAATTGGACCATGTCTAAAGAGAATCTGGCATAATGCATTCCTGCCCCATTTCCTGTTGTAAAACTCAGCAGTTACTCAGAGGAGAATTCAGGTTTAATTCTTTAAGTTTGCTCAGCAACATAAGATTCAACTCTTCAACTAGCAATAATGCTGGAAAGAAATCTTGGCAGAGCTGCGCACATGCATAGACAGGTACCAGAAACTGGCCATTAACCAAACCCAGCTATCTCAACAGGAGATCCCCAGGACAACAAGTCAGTCAGCAACATTTCCTCTCATGCACTGTTCCCACCATCAAACAGCACACATAAATAAGGGTTGGTGACTGCTCATCAATAGACTATTATTTGAAGTGCTTTGAAAAATGTCAATATTATAGTGCATTATATGTATTGATTATATTATTAAGGTAAATTCCACCATTTTATTTCAGAATGCTTTTAGTGTCTGCTTACTAGATGAATAGCTTTAATCATTGTTTTTAAGTTAATATACCGTGCCTAGATAGAGAAACCTGCACTTACCTCTAAAATATTTTCTTTACTTTCCAACCTCTTCTTTAGTTCGTCTATTCTCTCCAAATGTTTATTTCTTTCCTCTTCCAAATGCTTTTCCTTTTGTTTATATGCTTCGATTTCTGTGGCCATTAGTGCTTCCTGTTGTGACAGTTCATTTCTTTAAATTTTTTTTAGAAAAATCTCTAAATCTGATAACAGTTTGCAAAACATTGCATAATTAGTTTGCACCTTTCTTGAGTCAATTTCTTCTGCTATTGAATGCTTTTTCTCTCTCATCTCTTTCCATTTCTTTTCATCCTCATCCATTAACTTCCGATGCTCATCCATATCCTTTCTTGCCTGCTCCAAGTTAGTTTTGGCTGACCGAATTCTGTGACAGATGTCTTGGACTTCTTTTCTCTAGTGAAAAGTAAAAAAGGAAGCTTGCATTCATAATAGAAGGAATCAGTTACCACCCAACCTTATATAATGGATTCATTTTTGTGGATTGGCTCAAGACTCTGAAAATATTCAATGATGAGTGAAAGAAAAATTAACAGCTGAATATTCAGTGCAGCATTCAAAACATAACATACATGGATATCAAAATACAAGTAAGTCATAATTGATTTTAACACTTACTAGTGTGGGAATATGAAATGGCTGGGGCTCCTCGATGTTTTCTAAATCACCAAATTCTAGCTCAATTTTAGTTATTCTTCCCTGAAAAATATACAGTAGGAGATAATTCCTGGGTTTATTCCATTACGATGGAGCGTTAATTATTTAAAATGAAAAGAACAGAATCAGTTACATTTTCTTTTGGTCTTCCAATTACTGACCTGGATTTGTCTCCTTTTCATATGTGCCTTGTTGATATTGGTATAAGATAACTTGATTCTATTCTTTATTAAATCTGACCGCTGTCGATTGAGTGATAGCTGTTCTATCTTTTCTTTCAGTTCCACCTCCAGCTCCCTGTTACACAAAGGAACTCAGTGACAAAACTTGCTTTGATTTTTTTTGGAAAATGATCTACCTAATTAGACACAACTTAGGCCTTTAGCAATAACAATACTTTGTACGGCTAAACCAACAGTTCCTTAAACACCCTGGCCTTGATTTTCCAGTCAGCAATGAAGTGCCAGAGCTTGTCACTAACTGCGGAAAGTACTTTGAGCTTATCTGATTCACAGGCTGCAGTTGAGAACCTGCACTTCTTCTGCAGTATTTCAATGTTGAAAGCGTCAGCAAGGCTGAGCAGCATGATACATTACTGGAGAAGCTATGCCTCCTAGTCACAAACTGAAGACACATCCTTTAAGGTCAGTCTTCAACTTCATTGGCAAGTTCTGCAGTTTTCTTACCAGATGAACAGAACTCCTGAACCAATGTTGTCTTTTAATGAAATTTCATTTGTAACCTTCATGATTGTAAAAGTGCTATTGATCATTTGAAGTCAGAAAAACATACAACAGCTGAGAAGCATACTCCATGAGATAATGGAATTTAAACTCAAGTAATAGATCTGGAGTATAAATCTAGTCTCAGTGACCATGTCAACTCTCTCCAGTTGTTGTAAAACCCGTGCAGTTCACTGATGTCCTTCTGGGAAGGAAATTTGCCACATAATATGATGCATAAGAATTGTATGATACATGTGATTAAAGGGAAGAAAGTTCTTCAAAATGTCCACTTTTCTCAGTTTTCCCAACCTGGATAAAGGCAAAATTAGACCAAGTAAAAATCATTTCTGTGAAACAGTGAAATGGAGTACATGTCTGGGGATTACTATTTGGCCCAAGTCAGTTTCTGGCCTAGGAAGATAAATATTAATTTGGAAGCTGGCAGATTTGATGGCATCAACTAATCTCCAACAAAATATTAATACTCAACATGTTGATTCCCAATTAAACTAAATTTCAATTTGTAACTTTGAAGTAGGTTCTCATTTACAATTTGAACACCATGGACATACCCCAACTTATGGTTTTGATTGTCAACAAAATGGAACAAAAAATACCTGGTGATAACAATGATCTGATGTGATAAACTTTTCAGCTGATTAAAAAAGATTTTTGCAGTTTAAGAACATTTCAAAATAGTTGTAATAAAGACATATTTTTAACTTATATGATTGAGAGAATGAATAAAAAGCTGAAATAACATTTTAT